GGACTTCTTGATGGGATTTCTACACTCATCACAAGCTCCATGCATACACTGGTCAACACGCTGTCTTTTCCGATTGCCCTTGATGAACGACAACTTCATCGGATTCTCTGGCAGATGTTCTTGCCACATTGCACTGGTTTGTGGTTGCTCGAGGTTGTAGCCCCGATTCTGCTTGTCTTGCTTCTCGAAGACTCCACGTAGCCAGTGTAGTCCTGGACGGTCTCGAAGGCGATCTTGATGTCTGAGCTCGGGATCTCTGGAGTTTGATGATATACTCCAGGGTGCACAGTCAGGTGATGCATGCACCATACCAGGCTGGAACTCGTGGTAGGCCATGTCGAGGTAGCTCTGATGTTGAGCATTGTTGATGTCCCAACCATAGCGATAGTCGACAGGAAAGCCAACCACAAGTCCAAGTCCTGCCATCAATAGGCACAAACTCAATCTTCCTGAGCCTGAGCAGAGTTCCCAAGCGTGCCAACGAAGACCTCGTCCACGAGTCTTTGAGAACCAAGCTTTGAAGTTGCCTGGCGTCACTGGCGTGAGACCGGACTTGGAGTAGTATTCTTCTGGAATTGCTTTGTACCTCTTGTTGAGCTTGAGTACATCAAGATGATCGTGTTCTGCAGGAAGAACGTCTTGGACATACCGATCATCCGTCGTTGTGCTGTTCGCCAAAATGGCGGATGGAGTGAGATCTGCAGGCATGGGATTTCCTTCTTCATGAATTTGCTTGCAAGTGTGATACTGGTCATCCGCAGTCTGGGGCTGACTATCCAAAATGGGGAGCCCAGCTGCGTTGTGGTCCTGGCTATGGTGGACCTTGTCGTTCTCTTCTCGCACGGCCTGAGCCAAAGGTTGTGCTGCGTCATGTGGCTCTTGTGCTGCATGATGTGAGTCTTGCATCTTCTGCTCGTTGTCTTCTTCTTGGTGTGGACATGGTCGTTCTTGTACTGCATGAAGTGCCATGTGTTTCGTCATGTCTTTCTTGTCAGCTTCATTCTCTTTCTCATTCTCACACCGGTCACCTTCTGCCCGTGCCTGTGGAAGCGTCCTGCCAAGGAAGCAGTGATGCACTCTTGGATGAAGGTCCTCATAGCGCTTTGCTGTTGCCAGTGCTGCTTTCTGGCAGAAGAGGATAGCCTTGTTCTTGTCTAAATAGTGCGTCTTGTGCTTCTCTTTATCATCAGTCGGCAGGATGTAGTGTCCACTTTCGGTGAGCAGAAGTCGGAAGAACTTGATGTTGACAATGCCTTCATCTTGCCTTCCATCCATGGTCATCAGACCATCTCCGTTGTCAAACCAATTGGCAAAGATAGTGGCATTGAGCTTCCGAAGTGTTGGGTTTCCGACCAGTGCGGGACACAGTGATCCTTCACCTCCAAGAACTTCCGCTGTATAGGTGATTGGCAAGCTGCCAACTCGAAGAGGGACCGTCACCTGTCCCAATGTGGATGATGAAGTACCACTGATACCTGAAACAGGTGTCTTCTTGTCGTACTCAAACTGAGGCTCACCAACTGCACAGTCCTTCAGCAACATGCGAAGAGTTTCACTGCCGACAAGACCACTTGCTGCTCCTGGATCGATCAGGAGACCTTTTCTTTCTTGTCCGCGAACCTGGAAGTAAGAACATGCTTCACCAGCAAGGAACATGAAATTCCAGGTTGTTGTGTCAAGTGTCTTCGGCTGTCTTGAGGTAGAGGTCGATGCTGGTTCCTCACTTGATGTGGCTTCTGCATTGACTGCTGCAACATATGGTCGTCGGACCTTCATGATGTCATCCTCAGAGGACGAATGGATGACAAAGGATTCATGAGGAGGACCATGGTTTTGATCCAGGCGAGGTGTGTTGCCCAGAACATGGATGTTGCCGTCCTGAACGTTCAAGGTGCGCTCACTCAAGGGTTCAGCAACAAACCAATGGCCTTTCTTGCCTTTGCCCTTGTAACCTCCTCTGAAGCCATACTTGCTCTTGCCCTTGCCCTTGCCTTTCCAAGACGAGGGTCGCCAGGTCCAACGGCCGCGGAAGCCCTTTCCTTTTCCATATTTGCCTTTGCTCTGGTAGGCATAGCCCTTGCCCTTCTCTGACTTCATGGGGCAGTCACGAACTTGGTGCCACTTGCTTCCGCAGTTGAAGCATCCATCTTTGGGCTTGCCTTTTCCTTTGTAGAAGGACTCCTGCTCGGTTGCAGCATCGACTGGAGATGCATCTGAGGCGGATGGCTTCTCATAATCCTGAGATACTGACCATGGTTCTTCGGCTGTCCAGTCTTCACCATCTTCATAGAAGCTCTGCCAGCCATCTGGATCCTCAGACCAGTCTTGGAAGTAGTTCTCGTCAGTCTCATAGATCCATTCGCCTTCTTCTGCATCTTCATAGCCATACCACATGTCTTGCTCTTGATCCCAGGTGTCCTGATGGTATACATAGGAGTCGCCATAGCTCTCGTCTTTAACATCTCCGTAGAAGACCGTCGGATCATTTGTTGCGTCTGATCGATTCGGACTCATCCTGAGAGCTAGAGCCCTGGCGTCTTGGAACCTGGTATAGTCACCGCCAACCTGAAGCTTGATGTCATCGATCACCTTGACAGACATGCCACTGTGCTTGAACCACAAGAAAAACTTGGCGACGTCGTTCAATTGCAGGCCAGCTCGATCTGCTGCCTCATCCAAGCGCGTGTCAAACTCCACGGCGTATTCAGCTAAAGAAAGCTTGCCACGAGTCAGGGAGAAAAACTTCTCAAGTGCTTCCGTGGCCAAGTCCTGGTCTTGCTGACCGAAAGCTCGCCGCAAAGCATCCACCAGAAACTGAACTCCTGATGGAATCGCATGCTGGATGATGGCGCCGGTGGTCGGGTCCTGCACCTCCTCAACTGACAATCTGGCTAGAGCAGCGTCGCCGGTGTCGAAGCGGCCATCAGGTCGTGGCACTTTCAGCGTCATTGCCACTTTGGCTGCCCTGCCATAGAGCCGACCAGCCAGGAGGGGACCGACGCTCTCGTCCTCAACGTTGGAGACTCTGTACCAAAGTCGCATCTTCTCGAAGTAGCTCCTCAAGGGGTACGATGGATCTCCAGGGGTCCATCCTGGTGGCACATCTCTTCGATACTCTTGCAGCGGGATGGAACCACCTGTGTTCGACGGTGGCTGCATCATCCGTCCTCGATGTCCTTGATCGCCTTGTCGTGGTAGCCGTCAAGGTCGAAAGACAGGATGCTGTAGAGCAAAGCGAAGCAAGGAAGCGCAGCGGCGGTAGGGCTCGAGGTGGATGAGCTCAAGGGAGTGGTCCAGGGGCCACTGTCGTAGAGCTCGTCCAAGGACCTGGAAGGTCGAGGACAGCAGTCCTCAGGTCAGGAGCCAACAGCTCCCGAGGTGGAGGTCGAAGTCCTCGAAGAGGTCCTCTCCAAAGGCCTGAGACCGAGGCCTGATCCAGCCAAGGATCGGCAGCCAGTAGCGACGGCCGCGGGGGAAGCGGCCTATGGCAAAAACCTAAAAGAAGGCTCCGGTGCCAAACTCGCGTTTATTTGACCCAAGGCGCCTGCAGCACGGTCATAAAAATCTCACTCTGACAAATTGAAGCCCCCACCACACGCTGTTACGCCGCTGTTAGAGCGATCCTCTGAGAGCGTTGTGCTGGGCTCTTTTCCAAGGTTCTGAGTTGACGGGGTTGTGGCTTCTATTGTCTTGGTGAAGGCGTGACAACAAGTTTTCCAATCGTGTAAAATGAGTCGTCACGAACTCGGGATAACTTCAACCCTGATGTTGCCTGCAGTACACTGCTATGCCCCGGACTCTCTCGCACAGGTTCAGTCGGCAGCACCTAGCACTCAGTACCAGGCGGCTGGATTAAGATTGCGGTGGCAATCTTCGCACAGTGTAGTACTGTACTCAGTACAGCCTTCTCTTTAGAACTTTGAAAGTATATTAGCTGCTGTTGTTGGAGGCCATTGCTATTAGGTTGGAGGCCATTGCTATTAGGTTGGAGGCCATTGCTAGTAGGTTGGAGGCAATGCAGTTTGGATTTATATATGATTATATAGAGGAAGCTAAGTCAGGTTCCATGTTTGGACCGCACACCAGCCTTCGGCTCAGCCAGCTGCTTAGGCCTGGGCCAACAATATGAGGCATTGTATAGACAAGGTGATCTTTGGCTAGGTTCGTAGGGCCATCTTGTCTTTGTTGTTGTATGGCCAGAACGTTTCCATTCAGGTGCCAGCCCACGGCCACCTAGATTGAACCACTGTCACATATTGATCAGCCGCTTGAAAAGAAAACTGAAGAACTTACAAGAACATGTTGAGTGATCACAGCTGATCGCAGCTTACCAGCCTAGTTCGCTTGGCTTGGAGCGGGGATCAAAGGGGTGGTGTGGTGGTCGTTGCGCATGCGCTTTACATTGAAGTGGCTGGAGAGCTGTCGTTACACAAAACATATCAAAACATCACAAAGTGAGAAGGTAACTGGGCAAACTTGATGTTTAAGTCATATAAAAACCGGTCGCTTATCCCCCCCAGCTTCCCTGAGACCCGGGCCCTCGTCTGGCGGCAGGCACTGTCACACCAGCAGCCTCAGCGCAACATCAAGTGGTTCGCTTCAGCCACGATGCTCTGCCAGCTCTTTGATAGCACTTCAACATATCCCGAGGCACGAGCTGTTCATGAGGTGCAAAGCTTTAGGCTGCTGCTAAACCCCTACCAGCACCCAAGGGCCTGGCTGCTGCTAGATCATCAACATCTTCGCCTCGAGCTAAAGCCTGCAGAGGGCATGTTCATGTGGAAAAGGCTGTTGGATCGGACAGAATTCCACGAGGATGCCATTGAGCTCTCTACAGTGCTCGGCCCAGTACATAGCCCCTGATCTTTCTAGAAGACATGTCCCTTTTTGTAGGAGTGCCTTAAGTGCCTTGGTGGATTTCCATCCAGCCAGTCCCAACCAACCGAGATATATGATCACAGCAAGTTCTTGCGCAAAGTTCCACTTCCTTTCTACCTGTCCTAGCTTGGTGCCTCACTGAACTTGTCAGGTTCGGAGATGCTTAGAATACACATAATACACCCCAAATCACCATGTCTTGAGAGAAAGCAGATGCTCCCTTTGTATACGAAACCACCTCTGCTTTGACCTGCCGCGTTTGGCGGCCAACCCAGCACTCTTTTCGACACAGCTCGCCAAACCAGGTCCTCAAAGGGTGCGGGCAGGTTGTGTGAAGTGGCTCTTCCGGCGCTACAATCGGAAAAAAAGAGTCAACATTAAGAACTTCACAGGGAAGTTGTTTAACAGTTTGGACCAGGTTCTCAGGTCAACACTCGAAGCTCCTCGGCAGCCTGCACAAAAAGTGTGCGAGTGGCTTGCACCAACAATGGGAGCCTCCATAGATCATACTCCCTCCCAGCGATATGTACAATAATGTACCAACCGTTTCAACCGTTTCTACCAAACACACAGTTTGCAAACGCGCCGTAGGCCCGGTAGCCATCTTTCAGGATAAGTGCCTGCCGCTGCCCATTGCCCGCCGCCCAGTGCATCGGCCTCATCCACCCAATCTGCGCAACAAGCAAATGAAAGCCCGTGCTCCAAGCAACAAGGAACTCCACGCTCCAAGCCAGAACCAAAAGGAACACTGCTGCACGCTCTTGCATGAATTGACGAAGCCATTCGGATGTCATCCTAGGTTCAACCACTTCCCAATCATTTGCAAGGATGCAGGTTCAATGCAAATTTGGTTCACGCAGATTTCAAGGAGGAATCCAAACAGGTTCTGCTAAAGTCACCCAGGTATGTGGCCATCTTCCCTTCAAAGCTCTGGGCCAAAGTCCAGAAAAGTCTTCTTCCGTGGGCGAAGCCTTCAATGACAACAGCTGCCGCCTAGCAGTTCCTGTGCAGGTCGGGCAACTGGTCAATTAAGAAAAGTGGTCGGTTGGCAGCCTGCTGAGAAGCGCATACCAATAATTCTTGATCAGACGCTAGCCGCTAGCCAGGGTGAACGTTTAGAGGGCGGCCAAAAATCAATGTGATGAACCTTCAAACAGCCACCATACTATGTTTCTGCGTCTTGGCCCTTAGAACAAGAGTGGCAGGCCATGTTTGTTCCATTGAGCCCTCCGCTACCCGGCATATCTAAGTGCCCACACACCATCTTGACCCGCCCATTGGCTGCAGCCCAGTGGATAGGCTGACCTCAGGGCTTAAACAAATTTGGGAGGCGCTTGCTTCCCTTTTCAATCATCAAAGCCGCTCAAACTCAATCACGCCAAGGTGACAAAGAAAAAAAATAAGTGGTGGGAGACACTGCGCATGATTGCCCATGAATCTCATGATATGCTGATAGAAAGCTTTTTCCAAAGCATCTCCTTCATCATCTTCGTCACACCATTAACTTCGGCCACCCGGTGAGACTTCTGCTCCACCAGGTCGCCGTTCAGCTCGCCCGCCCGCCCGCGCAAACCCGCGGGCAAACGACGCCGTTAGCGGAGGCGACGGTCAAGGACCCGCCCCATGCCGGGCTGCTTTCAGCAGGACCGGAGGCAGAACCAGCAGAACCTATTGATGTGGAGCTCCAGGTATTCTGAGCCACACACCTAGGACTATATATCGATCCTCTCCGAGATAATAATGCACATCTTAAAACCATACACTGCCGCAACTCACCCGGCCTTTCTCATCTCTTCACGAAGAAGATGAAAAAGCTCATGGCCTGACAGGGTTTCATGGCGGTAGTAGTTTCTCTTCACATTTTGGTCCGATATCTGAGGAATGGTATTCAAGCAGCATGTCTGCAAGAAGCTGCTTTGCTTGACTCATGATCTTACAAATGGGGCAATATTGAACCTCTTTATACGTTAGCAAAGCTCTCATACAGTCTGGTTTTTAACAGGGAGGTGTACCCCTTGGAAGATGCCAGTTCAGTTGGGCATTCCAGATCTGAGAGCAAGACATCTGAGGCTGTAGAGCTAGGTAGTTCAGGTTAAACAGCGTTCAGAATCCTTGTAAAAGGAGAAGAACATTCGTGTTGTCCCAATGCCAGCCCAAGAGTAAGGGTATGCCCGTTGCAGTTTCAACATGTTTCAACCACGTTCGGTTGTGAAGTGCAAGACTTGGAGTGATCTCCCTAGCTCACCTCCACCAACCCACTAAGGCCTCGCTGTGGGCTGCCACAAAGCTGTGCACAGCGAGCTTCTGTCACGCGAACCTGGGCATCAATTATCAGCGTGCAAGCCAGGTTCTGAGTGCTTGACATGTGGAGAAGGGCAGGTGGCATGAATGTGCATGTAGATCAGAGATGTTCTAAACTACACCTTTATTAATATTTATTAGCACCGGAAAGCTCTACTGATCCTTTGGAGCAATCAATGGCAACATCCATTTGCAGTGAACTTGCTGCCAGCTTGCAAGCATCTGTCCCGTGAAGTTGCTGGGTATTTCCTCCAACACATCCCTGAAGGCGCCATCTGCCACCACTTCGAACCAAGACCTGCAAAACCAACGGCAGGGAGCAGCTCGCTTGAAAGGGGGCAAACTCCGAAATTAATAATCCTCTAAATTTAGCCTCAAAACCTTCCGTATAGGGAAGTTGCTGAAAACCCAAAGGATGGAAATCCAGCTGTCTTATCGTGTGCCAACTGGTCAAGGGTTGTCGCGAATGATCCTTTCGTGATGGTTCTGTGTAGAAGAACATGTGCTGGAGGAAGGTATGAGAGGCCTTCCTCATCTCCTCAAAGCAAGTGTTCATTCATGTTCCAGCTGCACGTTTTTCATGTCAAAATCTCGGAAAACCCCGAATCTGACCCCCACGTGACCTGCAAAATCCCTTAGCGTCTCACCAATACACACCAAGGCGCCTAACGGCTTCTGGCGTCCAAGACTTGGGGTGCTGCCTGGCTAGACACAAGGGCAAAGAGTTCTCGGCCTCTGGTATCTTTATGTATATATGCAATTATATTATGCAAATATTAGTATATCATGTCTCCGTCCTTTCCTTTACATCCAAAGATTTGAATGCTTGTTACTTGTTGTGCCACTCAAATGCCGGAGCCGAAAGGGAACATCTCCAAAGGTCCACATTCAAACCAGTCTTCCGGGAACATGAACCGTTGAAAGCACGCACAATCCGAAAGAAGAAAGAACGCTTCAAGAAACGTAAGGTAGGATTCTCGACCCAAAGTCTATGTTCAGTTCTATCCACTCATATCATATCCACTTTACATGTGTATATATATATGTATATTTTTATACAACACGTATTCAATATTCATTTTATTGTATATATTGTATGTTCCTTCGGATACAGTAATAACATCGGATAACGACTCTCGTTTACTGACCAATTTTTGCGTGAAACCTCCTCTTGAACGACTACTGTAGCACTGTAGCACTTCCAAATTCCAACACCCTAATCCCGAATTTGCTTATGAAAAAATTGTTTCATTCCCCGGACTAAAATGGTCAAACGCCAAGTGGCACACGCTCGCGCCGTCGCTCTAGCTCAATCAGCTGCTTCTTCTCACGCTCGTAGCCACAAGTGCAGAGGGAGACCTTGTCCAGATTCGGCAAGTGTACAATCCAACATCCACATTACAAGTCAAAGAAAAAGGTTACGCCACCCGCAAGGACCCCGCACGAAACGCGCACTTTCTTGCAAGGCACGAAATGGCACGAATGTGCGCTTCTATAACCATTACAGCATTTCGGCTGTCTCGCACTTTCAAGGCACGTCTTCAAAGTACTGCGCTTTACAATGAAATAGTTGCTATTGTTTCCCGGTTACAGTGGGATCCTAAGATGAAAATTGGTCCTGTGGTCAAAAGCAATCTTTCAACAAAAGGTGTTGGCCATCAGACATGCGAGCTCAAGCAAGTGATCACGCGTATTCCCGCGCCACGCGAAGGAGTACACATACTCTGGGATCTTGCTGTTGAGGCCGGCTGTCTTCAAGTTACGTAGACATGACACGCAGATCGAGCGTTATCACGCACCCACCCGTAAACAGGAACGCGCACTCTTTCTTCCATTGACGTGCATCAACTACACTTTCCTCATATACCCTAGTACCTATTAGACAAACGGTGTCTTCAAGTTACACAGACATCACACGAAGATCATCCGTCTTCTAACAACAAATACCGAGCGTCATGATCCCCATCCCCAGCCCACACCACTCCAAAAACGTGACAGGCGTGGTAAAATATGCGCATGAATTTGGAGGGCTACTGGGGAGACCAATGTGGCTATTAGCAAAAACACACTAAAATCCCCAGGGTCGGTATAGGTGGCGTGAACAAAAACAAGTCATTCAGAATTCAGAGTTAGTAGTGTATATCCTAGAGGGATGGGCACAGTATCATGGTACAAAATGGTTTCAATAGGTAGATGTTGCATGATTTAGCTGCTAGGACCAAGGATGCTACTAGGGGCTCCTGGCCTTACTACTAGGAACAAGAACACTACTAGTAACAAAGGCATCGCTATTGGGAGCAAGGACGCTACTACATTTAGATGCTCCAGCAGACTCTTGTGGAAGTCTTCAGACAAGGCTCTCCAGTTCGGAGGGTGGAAAGCGTGTGTTCTGTGTCCGACACACACGGAGATGCAGTGCAGATCACCTGGCAGGTGGAGGATGTCTTCAAAACTATACAGCAACTCTGTGCTTTGGTATTCAAGGGCTACCTGGTTCCATGCCTGCGATATATAATAAGGAATAAGTTGTGCAGTGAAGTCTGGTGCATGTTATTGAGGGCCAGTGGCCATTGCACCTCCAACATTGAAACTTTCAGGCTTCTGTATATGCCCACACTCCCCAAAGATCGGAGCTACATACCTGTTTTCAACTCGATGCATATCACCGGGACCCTCAACCTCTTGAGGATCTTGTTTATATACAGTAGTTGGCCAACACTTCGTGGCCAAGTCACTGCCAAGCGGGCGCTTCTGGGCCGTAGGAAGGACTCTGCCAAGATCTTTGTGAGGGATGAGGCGCGCAATAAGTGGGAAGGCACCGAGCTGTTGCTGGTGAAGTGGCGGATGCACTCCTTTAGCGCATGCAGAGATGCCTTGGGAACAAATGAACCGAGAGTGCTCTGGTGGGGCATCAGGATTGGAGCGGTGTATAATTCTATATATTATATAGGCTGATTGATCATCCCCATGTTGATCTTTTGTGCACCTGTGCCCTGTGCAAGCTTTGTGCAGGTGTTTCACAAACAGCAGCTCAAGAATGTGGCAAACAATCTAAACACTATGGAAAACACTGCATGCGAACAGCAGTCACGAAACGCTTCTGTTTTACCTGAGCCCAAGGCGCCTGTGAGGGAGTGAGATCTGCCCAGAATCATGGAAAGGTGCTTAGAGTCTTCTAGACTGCTTATTACGGTTCGTCAGCCCCAAGAACTGATCGTTTCCATGATTCTTGGTGCCTAACTTCAAACGGTGAGCACCCTGCTTCCCGCGTTCGAGGACTGCTTCTTCTTGCTCAATGCAGAACTCATTGCTTTGGAGCAACTTCAACATCGGCTCCATGTGGGCGCCAACCATCTTTGTCAAGCCATCCGTTGGGTTCAAATTGTGTGGTATCCAACGTGGCCTTGCTCGAACCACAATCATGGATTCTTTGATGATTGCTATCTCCAGGGTGGCTCGTTCGTCTTGACCTTGTGGTTGGTCGCTCTGAAGGGCGTCATAGAGCTCCTTTGCATCCATGACTATCAGGGAATGCGGATCCCTGTAGCCGCTGCTCTCGGTGGCAATCACCGTGTTCTTCCCTGCCAGCGCAAGGTAGTCGTCTTCATTGCGCTGTCTGCTTCGTGGGCAGTAGTTTGCAAAGCGGATGCTCGACATGAAGGCATCCTGCCTTTCCAAGGCAGCAGTTGCCGCTGACATGGAGATTGCTTCACAAAGCAGGGAAGATGCTGCTTTGCGTCTGAGCCTTTTGCTTCTCCATTGCATGATGGAGACCGGACTTTTGACTCCCTGGTTCATCTCGGGAGTCGTGTAACCAAGGATCCATCCATGCTGACTTTTCTCTTGCCCTGAAGTATCAAAAGCACTATCAGCAATGAGGATGTTCCGAAGGCGACTCTCCTCAATGCTGTGTATTTTCAGCTTGATTGGGCATGTCATCAAATGTCGGACAATTTCATTTGCCGAGTTGATGTGACTGACCAAGGGTTCAGGAAAGGTGCCAG